TGCTATTTTGTACACCTATTTATCTTATAAATGATTGTTTTGGCTTATATGCAAGCCAATTGTTGGAGGGGGCTTCTTTTTAATGTCACCCCCAACACAAATGTGTTTATCTACTTCTCCACTTATGTGGCACCTAGTGCCATTTAACTGTCAACAAATATCAGAAAAACGTTTATCAACCACTTTTTCTCGGTTTTGAAAACAAATCTAGTATAAACGCTTATTTAACAAATGGAAGCCATACCATTAATTTTCCCTAAAAACATGCTGTGTTTGGGTGTAAGTGAGCCAAGCCTATTTGCAAGCTACTCAATCTACTCGAACTCAGCTCGAAGCAATCAAGTTTGAACTTCATAATACTTGCCTCGAGTGGCCCGTGCTTATAATAAAATATTAATTTTAATACATCTGTATTTATAATATAAATAGATATTAATTTCTTGACATTAACTTATTTATAATATTAATTTTTAATACTAATTTATTTATAATCCGATTGAATTGAATTAAGCTCGAGTAGCTCATGAGTATCAACTTGAGTTGAGTTCAAAGTAGAAATTTTGAAATTTGATCAAGCTCAATTTAGCTCGATTACACCCCTAGTTGTATTTATTAGTAAAGTTTGAATGTTGCAAATTTACAGAGTCACATATTCAAGTTTCTAAGAAGTTATTTTTGTTTCATTTTGTTTATGATATGTAATATCCACACTATTTTTAGTTTAGTTTATTCACAACTAATTTAAGGGTATATGGTAGGTATTCATACTCGTGCAAGTAAAGATAAAAGGGTAAAGAGTAAAAATAAATATAAAGACAAAGATAGATTTTAAAATATTTACTTCATTTTTTCTTAAATGTGTTGACTTTATAATGATATATGATACTATACATACTCTAATTTAACTTTTATAGATCTACACGCAGACTAGACAAGCATTTGCATTACATAGTCTAGATATATAATATATTGAACATTGCTCTAAAAAAAGAAATCATTTTGATTTTAATTTTAGAGTTATTTACATACATTTGTTCAACCAAATTAATCAAAACAAAATAAAATAAAAACTAAATGCTGATTTTGCTTCTGTATTTTATTTCTAAGAGGTTGATATGGGGGCGCTCATGGTTCACTTAGGCTTAAATCAATCCGATCCTTAGGTTTTTGTAAAATATCAAATCAAAACAAAATTGAAATCAATCAGTTAACCGGTTGATCAGTTTAACTATTCAATTTTTTATATTTATAATATATTATAAATAAGTATATAAATATATTATATAAATACTAAAAATATATAATGTATTATATATATATATATGTATAATAAATCATGTACAAGGTAATATTTACAAAATTTAAATTATAATAACAAATTTTCAACCATATATTAATATATTATGACAATGTGCATATTAAATTACTCAGTTTAATCAATAAAGATAATATGAGTTTTAAATTATATATTATCATTATTGAAAATCAAGGTTTTGAAGAACATGTTTCATTTTTTTTTTCTTAAAGAAGGAGAATAAAGAAAAAAAACAAGTTCCAAGAGTAGACCCTGGAACCGACAAGGCCAAAATTGACCTTCACGGGGTAAGTTTCAATTCCAAAAACCTAGAACCGACCCCTATAAGGTAGGTGTTCCAAATTCAGGCATAGAACCGAACCAAACTGACCCATGCTCACCCCTAAATCTTAGCCTTTTTGGTTTTTTTATTTTTGGTAAATACCTAAGAGGCTAAGATTTAAGGGTGAGCATGGGTTGGTTTGGTTCGGTTCGGTTCTATGGCTGAATTTGGAACACCTAGCTTATAGGGGTCGGTTCTAGGTTTTTGGAATTGGAACCTACCCCGTGAAGGTCAATTTTGGCCTTGCCTGTTCCAAGGTCTACTCTTGGAACTTGTTTTTTTTCTTTATTCTCCTTCTTTAAGAAAAAACATAATGAAACATGTTCTTCAAAACCTTGATTTTCAATAATGATAATATATAGTTTAAAACTCATATTATCTTTATTGATTAAACTGAGTAATTTAATATGTACATTGTCATAATATATTAATATATGGTTGAAAATTTGTCATTATAATTTAAATTTTGTAAATATTACCTTTTACATGATTTATTATACATATACAAATATTAAAATGAAAACAAATGATCAAATCACTTAAATAACCTGATGGTCAAGTAAGATCATGGTTTTTTGTAACCATGAGTGCTTGGACTCAAATCTTCACATCCTTAAAAGTTTTTTGGGATTTATTTCAAGGCAAGTTCGGTTCCAAGACCGATTCTGCTAAGGCCAACCAAGGCTGGTTCATCGGGTCGGTTCGAGTGAGTAAACCCCTAGACCTTGAAACCAATCCCCACCCAAGCTGATTTCCAAGTAAAACCTACCAATTTGTTCACCCCTATTAAGATTAATTAAAGATATTTTTGGAATAATAAAACATAAGGCCATGCCCTTTCACATTTTCCACTCATTTTAAGAGGTCACATGACCATTCCCAAACTATTATAAGGTCTAATTATGAAAAGTGGTTGCAAACAACAGGAGTATTTTTAAAATATATGCAAATTATAAGATGGGTTTTAGGAAGTACTAAAACTATGAGGGTGTATAAGTAAATGACCCCAATTTATAACAATCCAAAATTGATTTTAATCGGGCTTAAAAAAAGAAATTGATTATAATCCCGACAATCCCATAGATAAGAGTCGATCCGATCCGATCCGATCCATTTGCAGACTTGATTTTTCAGCATTTTTTCGGGAATTGACGAATTGTGGAAGTAAAAGAATCCATGGCCATAGGCCCAAAGTCATATAGGGAAGTGAAAACTGAAAAGGTTACTCGGTTCTCATAGTAGTTCGTTGCGTGAAGAGAGAGCGAGGTGCTGCCTGCAAGAGAACTGGAGAAATGAATGCGAATAAAGGCTCTGACTAAGCTAAACTAGGGCTTTCTTAGGAAGATACATCTGATTTGCAAGAGAAATGCACCAGAAAATCAAACAATGCGGTGATTACCGTGATAGTGATACTGGTAAATCTGTTTACTCAATATAACAGCAATCCGTATTATTGGATTGTTGAACATTTGGATATAGATTTTCCATTCAGATATACCAGGCTTTCCAAAACCCTAGTTTGCTTGAGCGCGAAAGCATGGAATAATGTATGAACAAAGGCAATTACACATCTCTGTCAGACTATCACAATGTTGTGAGTTGTGACTGTAGATTTTATCACCAGAAACCTTGTAGCTGGAATCCTCTAAAAAGCCTTTCTCTCTAGTAAACAAGAATCAGTTAGATGCCGCCGAAGCCGCAATCGTCTTCGTCGATTTACTGGACTACAGGACGGATTTTTTTTATTATTTATTTTTTCTGAGGAAACTGCTTTGACGGTGGCAGTTCTGATGTCGGATGTCACTGGGTCGGGTTAAGTGGAGAACCGGAATTATCCCGAACCATTTGGCTTAGGTTCGGATACGGGTTGAGACGGAATGGTTTCGTTGCAGCACTCAAATATTACGCTTTTCATCGAATCTAGGATCATTTACTATAACATTGTTTTATGAATTTAATTATAGGGAGAATTCCTATCAGTATCATGAAAGTTGGGCCTAATGCCACTTTGGTCCTAATCTTTAAAATGGGAAAATTTAATATCTGAATCCAATCTAGCCCCTACGGTAACTAGCTGTTGATCAGTTGCTAAGTGGCATTTAAAGAAGACATAAATGTCCTTCGAAATCTTTGCGTCTTTTATTCAAGAAAGTTGGAGATTCATAATGCCCACTGAGATGTGCCCCCAACTTTCTTGAATAAAAGAGTCAAGGATTTGGGGTTGTTAATTTTTTTTATCAATGTTTGGGTAGTTGATAAAGAAAATTAGATGACACACGAAGGCATTTGTGTCTTTTTCAAATGCCACTTAATGTTGATTATTAACTAGTTAACAATAGGTACTGGATTGACACATTTTGAAAGTTCAAGTACCAAATTATTGCATTTTAAAGTTTGGGGACCAAAGTGGCACTAGGCCCAAGGTATAGAGTACTTAATCGGAAATTTTCCCTAATTAAATTATCCTATAATTTTTGTTTTACTAAAACACCCCTTTATAGGTTACAACTTATTTACTTAATGTACCTTTCACCAGGGGTGTTTGTTTTTTGGATTTTGAGAGGGGGAAAGTTGGTCAATAAGATTTTGGTTTCCCTTGTGACTTTGTCTTAGGGTTAGGGTTATGTGAGGACTGAGGAAATTTTATTTTCATGGGTTAAGTGATACCCATTTCCTAGGTGGATAAGTAATTTTTCCACTTGGTGGAAAAATTGATAGCACTTGGATGGGGCAAAATTGCCTCTTTTGGAAATAGATTTTTATGGTTAAAACCATTATTGCCTTATTTACTTGGAAAATAAAAGAACATGGATAAATATATTTTCTCGGGTAAGTGTTTCTTAGGAACCACTTACTTGGGTAAGTACATTAACCTGGGTATGTAACTCACTGAAAAGCAAACGAGACTTAAAAGGTGTTTGTTTTTGCCATAAGAAAATAGTAACATGACTGTAAAAATAAATTGTTTAAGGGCATGAATTCATAGTTGTTTATTCAAAAAGTACCTATAACACTTGTTTATATAAAAAACAAAATTAACCAAATAAAGCCAAAGAAATGATTACTTATGTCTAACATGCAAAAGTGATATGTTTATTTTTATTTTATTTAATTAAATTTATTCAAATGAACATTAGGATTAGGATCAGGAATGTCATTTTCCATTATCATCTAATCTATCTAATATAATGGAAGGTTGATTAACTAAGTAGATTACAAAATAATAAAAGGGTATATTAGTAAAATGAAAATTATAGGGTAGGTTTTTACTAATTCTATGACACTGTAGGGGATGTTTTTGTAAAGGATCCCCACTCTATTTTATCTGTGCAGCTGACGTACGTTTTGATTTTCATGTGTAGTAAGCGCCTTGAACTCAATGTTTCGAAAATGGGGAATCTCAGCCGCTAAATCGTGGAACATGAGTGGAGAACCGTGTAGCGGAGCAGCCATAGACTCCACTGATATCGAAAACACTCCGGGGTTCAACCCCGCGATCAAATGCAACTGTGACTACAAAAATGGAACTACCTGTCACATTACAGAGCTGTACGTGTTCCTTGCTGCCTACTCCCTCTCTCTATATGTATATATATATATATATATATCGCTATCTAGCTTTGTTTTGTTTTGTTTGTTTTGATAGGAAGGTGTATGCGTTGGATGTAAAGGGGGTGATCCCAGAAGAGCTGGCCAATTTGACTTATCTCACCTACTTGTATGATTTCCTTTATCTCTATCTTGAAATCTTAAAGATGTTTATCTTTTGTTTAATTATTATTGGTTGTGGTCTCCACTTCTTTCGCAAGTGGATGGTTCATGACCTACCACTTGATAAATTCCAAATACCCCATTAGTTTATCCTTGGGCTTAGACGCTTAGTTTCGGAAGAGTGCAATGTACGGTGCAAATACAAGGTTTAGAAATACCATTTACAAGGTTTTCCACTGAACGTATTTGTATTTGCACTCTTCCTAAACTGATCCTCATTAAAACACATGTTAATCATAATCTTCTAAGTAAAGATCTAAACCATTAAAATGGAGCTTCAGTCAAATTATCTTGGTCACTCAAACATATAGACAGTGAATTGGGAATTTGATAAATATCCTGTTAACACCGGTAGGACTTAGGAGTGTAAAAAGTTTAAGGGAATCAAGTGATAGACCCGCCATTTGTAGACATTGACATTATATGATACTATTACAGTATAACTGATCTTGATTAGACCAATTTTATAATTGACAGCTCCCCCCACCTCAGCCAAGAGTGAACATGTCAGTATTCTGTACAGATGTCAGTTGTATGACACACTAGCATGTTCAGTCTTGATTGGGTTGCATACCCTGTTTTATTCATATTTGCAAGGACTAAGGGTAATTAAGAACTGATGCTATTTCATTCATTTGCTGTTATCATATTAAATATTACTGTTTTGCAGGAAGCTGGATCAAAATTATTTAACTGGCCCAATGCCTGCATTTCTTGGAAATTTATCTGCAATGCAAAAACTGTAAGTCAAATTTTATTAAGAAATTGACACACATAAAATCTAAAGATGTGAAATCAAATAAAACTTGAATTCAGTCTCTCTCAGATTTGGATTTACTTGTGTTAATGCCTGATCCTGAATTAGTCCATCAATCTTTTCATAAAAATCGTCATCTAAGCCTTGTCCCAACTATATGGGGTCGACTACATGAATTCTGTTTTGCCATTTTGTTCTGTTTGGTTCCATATACCCATTGTCAAATTATAGTTGCTTAAATCATTTCTTACTATTTCCACTCAAGTGCTTTTCAGTCTGCCCCTAGCTTTTCTAGCCCCTTTTAACTTGTAACAGATCACCTTCCTAACTAGTGTTGTAGATGGTCTTCTACACACATGATCAAACCATCTCAATCTGCTTCCTTTCATTTTATCACCTATTGGAGATACTCCTAGGTTCTTTCATATTACTTCATTTTTAACCTTGTTCTTTTTAGTTTCACTACTCATCCATCTAAGAATTTGCATTTTTTCCACACTCATTTTTTGGACATGTTGTTTCTTAATTGTCCAACAATCTACTCCATACAACATAGACCGCCTTACAACTGTTTTATAGAACTTTCCTTTTAGCTGAAGTTGTATTTGCCTATCACACAAGACTTCAGATGCACCCCTTCATTTTTCCTATTCTGCTCTAATTCTATGGGTGACACCCTCTTCAGTCTCTCATTTGTTATTGATTATTGGACCAGGGTAATGGAAGAGGTCCATTGAGTTATCTCTTGGTCGCGAATGTCAAGTGTACCCTGATTTGCACTCCTATTATTATTAAATTTACATTGCATATATTCTCTTTTTTAGTCCTATTTATTTTAAACCTCTTGTTTCTAATCTGGTTATACATAAACTTAATTTTGTATTTAATCCTTTGTTAGTAACTTAGTTTCATAGATTTATACTATGCCATCAGCAAGCATTAGGAACCATGGGACCTCCTTGTGAATATGTTTAGTCAATTCATCTATGACTAGTGTAAATAAATAAGGACTAAGTGTTGAACCTTGGTGAAGATCCATTGTAACTATAAAATCTGATGTCTCTCTCACAAGTGCTCTAATATTAGTTTTTGGCTTTCTGCACCCTCTTACATATCCTTAATTATGACCTCCCTAGGGACTTTGTCATATACTTTCTCTAAATCATAAAAAATTGTGTAGAGATCTCTCTTCTTATCTCTTAACTTTTCTATTAATTGTCTTAATAAAAGGATTGCTTCCATGGTTGATCTCAAATTGGTTTTCTAAAATATTTGTTTCATGTCATAGCTCATACTTTTACTAACTTATTCTCTCCCAAAGTTTCATAGTGTAGCTAATGCGCTTAATTCCATGATATACAACTTTGTATATTGCCCTTGTTTTAAATATAGGCACCATAATGCTCTTTTTCTATTTATCTAACATTTTCTTTGTTTTTATTATCTTATTAAATAGTTTAGTTAGCTATTTAATAGGCATACCTCTCCTATACCTTTCCATGCTTCTATTGTGATACCATTAGTTCCTAGTGCCTTACTCTTCTTTATCTTGTTTAGTGCCTCCTTCAGTCCAATAATTCTAATTTTACAAAGATATATGCTACTTTTGGGGTTACTAATCTTTTCTTCACTAGCAACCTCTACATGTTTTTTCATTTTTTTGATCAATAAAGAGATGAATTCATTCATTAATTAAAGAGAAAGTACAACAATTGGTTGCGAATTACAAGCTGAAATTTAATGTGAGCATAGTCCTTACTATCTTGCCCCTTCCCTAAAATTACATTTGAACCCAAAATAGTTGTTGCCTACTTGCCCCTTGCTTTGTCAAACCATCAGCGGACTATTTTCTGACCTTTTCTCCCATTGAATTTCAATCTGCACTTCTTGAATGCCATTTAAACCGTTTGATTTCATTTCTGAAACTCCACGCTGTGCTTCACTAGCCAATTGATCACCACTTTGGAATCACCTTCAATAACCAGCCTTTCCACTCCCATTTCTTTAGCTTTCTGTACCCTTAAAACTGCTGCCATTACTTGTGTCCTAATTGAATCTCCTTCACCTATTTGAGCTGAACAAATCACCCTTATGGTTCCATTCTCATCCCTTATTACACCCCAATTCCAGAAGGCCCATGATTACTCAAACTACTAACATCAAAGTTCAACTTCATCCACCCTCTATTTGGTGGTATCTACTCCTTTTTTACTTGTTGATTTTTTAGATGACGAATTAGCAATTGCCCTCCAAATTTTGACAAGATGATTCACTGTAACATCTGATAAGTCATCTAATTTCTTCATTCAATGTGCTACTCTCAATGTGGTCTCAATTATTGCCCCCTACTTTCTTTCTCCTTGAAAATTCTTGCATTTTTTCTTCCTACAGAGTCCAAACCACTACCACTCGTCTTTTTGTGCATTTGACTTTCGTTGCTTCAAACAATTTGTCCAAGCAAATAGAGGATTCCACTTGCATCTAGAAAGAGCAAGAAGCCACTCCCAAATGCAGTAGACAAATGGGCAGGAGATCAGTAAGTGATGATAAGCAGTCTCACCACTTAGGTTGTGTTTGGTACCTGTTGAAGTTCGACCTGCCCTAGAGTTCTGTTATGTTTGTTGACTGAAAAGTAAAGTAAACAGCAAGAAGTAGGAGAGGAAAGAAGAAGGAAGAA